CCAAAACTGGTTAAATTTATTAATCGCCCTTCTGAAGCAAATCAATTTAAAATTTTTATGGTACAATAAATCTTGTAATGGAAAGTATCCAAATTGCCCCTGAAAATCCATAATAAGATTTTGTAAGATTCGGGTAAATTTCGGTGCGGAAATCGATTTGCATAAAAAATTTTGGGAGACTTGTGCATTACAACATTGCCCCAAATTATCGATTAATACAGTAAAACAGTAAGTCCGCATACATTAATCTTGATTTCAAAATCATATTTTTTGGATTCTTTTACTACAAAAGTCTCCATATTATATGTCGTTTTTTAATTGTATTCATTTAATATGTGATTTATTGATGATTTTGGTGGCTATACTGGGAAGATTAAATGCGACGATTATATATAATTGTGTTTCTTTTTTAAAGCAAAATCAGTTCAAGTTTGCTTAAAGTTAATATGAGTGATGACAAAATAAAGTTTATTATCATTTATTGTCGCCGAGTATATACTTTCAATTAGGCGGTACTCACATTACGCAATGTCTCAATTTCGTTTTTGTCATATTATATGCGTGGAGGATTTCTATTTGTTATATTACAGTTATTATCATAATTTGGGGCAATGTTGTAATGCACAAGTCTCCCAAAATTTTTTATGCAAATCGATTTCCGCACCGAAATTTACCCGAATCTTACAAAATCTTATTATGGATTTTCAGGGGCAATTTGGATACTTTCCATTACAAGATTTATTGTACCATAAAAATTTTAAATTGATTTGCTTCAGAAGGGCGATTAATAAATTTAACCAGTTTTGGTAATACCCGCAAATTGTATCAGCTGTAATTTTATCCGGCGGTGACAGTCCCAAGCCAATCAGATTGCATGATTAGGTATGACGAGAAAATTCAAAAAATTACAAATCGCAATAACTCAAAATTATGCCTACGAGACCACCGTTTATGTTCTAACAAAAAATGTTTCTTGAGGCATTTTACTATATAATAAATCTACTTCTAACTCTAAATCCAACCCTAACCCAAATCCGGTTACTGTCACCGCCGGTGACAAACACATTTTTTCATTCTTAAAAACTTGTATTTCACAAAAATTTTTTACTAATCAACAATGTTATTTTTAATTTATCGCTGGTAGAAACTGGTTTACATTGTCATCCAATTTTCTGATTAGCATAAAATTGATTCAATAGTTTTTAAGTCATTTCTTTTATTGTAAGAATAGTGCAAACTTTTAACAAGATCAAGCGCCTACACTTAACTCTATAAACTCTCCAGTTTCAAGTTCATTTTCAACCGCTGCATTTAGTGCACCGAAGAGGTCGGTCTGAATGGCCCAAAATTAGAATGTTTTATACAGGAACGGAGTGAAACGAGTGTATGGCTTCTTCGAGAAAGAAATTATATGCGTACTAATACCCGATTTGCGTGATCATGATTTTCACATCTTGTTTATTTTTCAATTACCATTAAAATAAAACTGTCGAAGCCACAAAACTGCCTGCTAAAATGAACACTCACTGTTGATAAAATCCTGAATTCACCCACTGTTGGAATTATTAACCTATTCACTACCCAAATCGTGAGCCTACCTTCTGTTGAAATCACGACCCACCTATTGTTTAGATTACGAATCTACCCATGAACCCACCATTGTCGAAAGTATGAACATACTACTAAATCATGAATCTACACATTATTCAGGCTATTGAAATTATTAGCCCACCTATTACTAAAATCAACTATTTAATATTATTAAATTTCCATTTACCCAATGCTGGAATTATGAATCACCTCACCATTATATCACTAATCCACCAATGTTAAAAGTACAATACTGACTGATCTGTTAAGCAGTGAACTCAATGTTGAAATCACTGACTCATCTACTGTTAAAATCATTAATTCATCCACTGTTGAAATTATTAACCCACCTACCACTAAAATCGGCACTACTTATTGCTGAAATTACGGATTATCTACATTAATCACTATTAAATCACTTACCTACCTACTTTAAATATTGAGCGTACCTACTATTGAAATCATGAACCAACCCACTACTAAAATTGTAAGTCATTCTCAATTGAAACTATGAACTCATGAAACCACTAAATCACACATTGTTAAGATCACTAACCTATCTATTGTTGAAATTATGAACCTGTCTACTTTTGAAATTACTGACCTGTCAATTAATTAAATCGTTACTGAAATCATGAAATTAGACAAACAAATCGTTACATTGTTAAGATGTTAGTATAGATTTTCTCTTACTATAAAAATCATTACAAAAAACATGTTAATCACAATTTTTTAATACTTTATTGATTAAATCATACTTATCGCTAAGAGCAAACCTAGCATCGCCCACAAAAAAATGTAGTTGATGTTATAAATTTATTATATGATAACACTCATCATATGAATTATCAGTCATAAGTTATTCATAGCGATAATACAAGTAATAATCTATTAAAATTTATTTGAAATAAATAAATGAAAAAAAGAAAAACAATTGGGCGATTTGAAAACCTGCCGTAATAAACAGAAAAGATCAAATACAAGTACAAGAAACTGAATACAGATATGAGTCGACTATATATTTGTTAAAAACATTTATCGTTATTATTCTTTAGCTAAAAAATAAAACTGATTTTAATATGGGTAATTATTTTTGAATCCGGGTCAATTTTATATATATCGATATGACATAAATAATGTCGGGGATGATGCTGAAATTGGATGATGCTGAAATTCACGATGATCTTCTGTAGCATTACTATCGCCGTTGGTGTTAGAGTTAGGGTTAGGGTATGGAAGGTTTTTTGGTTTGATTTTACATATATTACATCTAATTCCACTAGGGTAATTAAAATATGGTCATACCCAAACCCTAACCCTAACATTAATAGCGAAATTTTTTAGTTGGTGATGCTAGGGTTCTATAAGCACTTTAGGTTTGTTTATCATCATGTGATCACATGAATTTCAGCATCATCCGATTTAGCATCATCCCCGACAAATAATAACATTTTGGTCTAGATTCAAAAATAATTACCCATATTGTTATTATTATCAGCGTTTTAATTATGACGAAGGCTACATTTTTGTGGTAATCCTAGGTTTGCTTATCGACGATCTACCTCTAGCCTAACAATATATCAGGCCAACCAAATTTTATCAACAAAATGTTTGTTGACAAAATAATTTATAATTATAAAATTGACCTATACAGTACTATTATCATAGTTAAATTTATAAGACACTGAATAAAAATGCTTAACTTATATATATATTATAATTATTAAACTTATTCACACATCCTAAATAAAGCACTTCGTTCCTGGTTTTAGCGCGACAACGTCGCGCAGCTACCTAATTTCATAACTTATACTAAAATGGTAATACTGTAATGTGTGACTTGGTTGTTTAGCACATGTGAAATCGCGCATACACCCAAATTATCGCGAATACGCGATCACACCAATTTATTGATCTATGCCCCTTGAGCGAATACGCTCAAATCTAGGTATGTATGTTGTAAGTGGAAACGGAATTTAAGTGGATTCGGAAGTTATATATAAAACCCCGCTTTGTGGTTGATTTTATCATATGTACACACTAACCCTAACCCTAATTTAACTAGGAAATTCCAAATCTACTTAAACTCTATTCCTACTTACAACATATACACCAAAGAAATCGCGTATACGTTCAAATTAGAGCGAATCCGCTCAGGTTAGAGCGAAAACACCTTATAATATAATAAAATGTATATAAGCACTTTGAATTCATCGTTCACTCATAATTACGAATAAATAATAAAAATATGTCTACTTATCTGAATTTTCATTTGTGAAGTATTCTTCGAATTCGACTTGTAACTTTAATAAACCTTTTCGAGACTTAAATTCGACGGACTGAATTGACTTGTAACTTCGATTTGGATTATTAAGACTCGGATTTTTGGAACGGTTGTGGAATCAAATATTGCCTTCCACATTGGTGACTTGCGAGAATTGTGGGAGAGACGACATTTATGATTGGTCACTTGACTTTGTTAGTCCATCACGTGAACTAAAAGTTATCACCGATATCACTTGATCATCGTTCGCTTTTACATTATCACCTTATTAATCTATCATCGTCCTTAAGATCATCATAATTGCCCTTGATCATCAACCCGTAGAAATTAAGATATTCGCTTCGTAACGTCATATGGCACCATTAGTCCTCGAATACTTACAAAAGACCCTCTTCGCTACTTTTAAATTGTCTTTAACTTCCCGTACACCGTTGGAGTTAGATTGGCATATCATCTATATTATTTCATTAGCTCTCCCAATCAACGGTTACAATATCTCCTTAAAGCAATTTAATACACGTAAATATATTATGTCCAGCTATTTGTGCCGGAAGGCCTCCAACTATTATATCACTTCTTTTCGTATATGGTAAAAAAAATAATCGTGCGTGCCATATAAAAAAATTATGTAGTGAAATCAAATATGATAAAGATAGTCATGCCAAACTTACAAAGCGCTAAATATTTTTGATTTTTTGATTTTAACTTTTATAATACCAAATTATTTTAATTAAGTTTGCATCGTTAATATGCATGTACAAATGAAATTCTAATGTGACCAAGAAAAAAGTGGATCAATCAAATAATCGTACGATCGGCCCATTTCATGAAATACTATGTTGGTTGACGGACAGCATTAGATAATACAATCATTTTAATTGTAAACATTACTTTACGCTACCTATCATACTAGTATCCGCTAAAAAGTTGGTCAGAATCATAATTTCATTTGAAGCCCAATTTCATAAGTTAAATATAGGTTGAATGAATCGATTTGAAAAATAAACTTTATTACATATAATTAGTGATGCAGAAGTAATGAGAATCAATTTACAAAATTTGTAAATTTTACAGGTTTGTTAACAAAAATGTCTTTTAGAATAATGATAAAAACTTTATAGAATTTTCAATAACCAGCATAAGCATCGAGATTTCCATTCCAATATTTTAATAATCTCATGTCTTTTAATTTCAACCATTTATCATTCATCAAATTTTCTTGTAATATTTCTTTAACTACTCTAACACCAGAATTAAAAGCGCCAACAATCCAAGCATTATGTATATCAGTGTGCTCGCCGGCCCAGTGTATACAATCTTCAGGTCTCATCATCGCTCCCATCAAAAATTCCAATTGTCCGGGTCCATATTTAGCGTAAGCCCCTCCAACAACAGTTTTATCATTTGTCCAATAATGAGCCTTATTATTCTCTTTACCAGAAATCCATTCTTTTCTTGCTATTTCTCCATGAAGGGTCACTATATCTTTTAAAGCAAGTTCAAAACGTTCTTCTTCAGTATACGGAGCATACTTTGCAGCATCATTACCCCACGTATAGGAAGCTAATAGAACCCCAGAGCCATTTGTTGGCAGACCTTGATAATATGAAGGATAGACAACAGTACGAACAGGAAGGTCAGTTGACGAAGTTCCGCCGACAATGCCAACATTAGAGGTCGTCTGTAAACCACCAGTTTCGAGTGGAGATTTTTCCCAGAAACGATTCTTAAATGATAGAAATATTTTTCCGGCGTTTAGATAATCTAATTCACGTATTGCACGTTGCTTTCCATAAGATAATGCTATTTAAAGAAATAAATTGCTTAAAATTTTATTACGATAGTAATAAATAATTTTAATGATAATTGTCATAAAACAAACGTTACGACCAATATACTGGCTATTCTTATTTAAGAGAGGTCTTTCTTCCCGCAAAATTACCAACAAAATGGGAACATTATGATGAAATTATTAGAGCTATCGAAATTAGAGAAGTTGGCATAGGCATGTTGTGCATGTAATGATGAAATTTATAATTTATTCATTAATTAATTTATAAATTTTAAAATTCCTAATTAATTTAGGCCAATTTGACTATGGCTTCGTTGATTTGGCCATGGAAGCATATACTTTTGATCCTACTTTCAATACAAGCTGGAAAACTATTGACAAAGGAATGCAACGATTACCTAATGCTTTCTTGCCATTAATTAAGAAGGCA